GTATTCTATCTTTCTTAGAAATAAATAGGATAGGGGCCCTTATAGGGCTAGTGCTATAGCAAATCTAGCTATTATATAGCGCTTATTCTAAGTACTCTCTAAGTAGCTTTAGCTTATATAAGAAGAGGTTATAGAGTAGACTATATAGAGGCTCCTTACCTTCTAGAAGAGGAATAGTATAGTCTAAGGACTTAAAATTTAGAGGGGTAGTAGCTACCTCCTTACTAAAGATATTAGAGTAGTCCTTTAAAGTATCTAGTATACGCGGCTCTTACGCTATATATACTTAGTAGATATAGGTATTATATTCTAAGTCTATACTAGTAGTCTATAGGATACTAAGAAGTAGTAGGTTAAGACCTAATTATTATATATCTTCTTCTAACTCTTTAGTAGTAATAAGCTAAATACTAGCTACTTTATATCCCTATCTCTAGGCTTAAGAGCTATAGTTAAGGTAAATATATCCTTACTAAAGGAATAGATTACTAAGTAGTAGTAAAGAGCCCTCTTTATTAATACTATATATAGTTATCTATATATAGCGCTTAATACCTATATTATTAGCTAAGTATACCTAGAGTATATATACTATATAAGTGCTCTATTACTATCTCCTAATCTAGCCTAACTAAGGAAGCTCTACTCCTTTAATAGGTAGTAGGCTTATTTTAATAGTAGTCTTTTAACTAATTAGGCTAATATCTACCTAAGGGTCTAAAATAACCTATAGTTATCTCTCTAGGGTTATCTCCCTAGCTATACTATATATACACTTTATACCTAGTAAGATATATATTAGAATACGCCTTACTATCCCTAGGTTATTAGTAAGGCTTAAGCTTTTCCTATCTTATTAATACGTATAGGGATCTAATTTAGGTTACTACTTTTATACTTATTAGTATAGTAGCCTTTCTTTTAATATTTAAAATAGGTAATACTATTCTTATCTTAAGGTAGCTTATTTATAGGAGGAGGTAGCTTCTCCTCTAGCTTCTAGTCCTTATATCTAGTATTCCCCTTAGGACATATATTATAATTACGCGTTAGAGAGGGTTAGTATAGGTTTTACTTAAGTATAGAGCCTAACACTATTAAATCCTCTCTTATTACTAGTACTTAGTAGTAGTTAGTAATTACTTATTATATCTCTAGCCTTAGCTTTAAGAAAAGATACTAGACTCTCTATTATTTAGTATAGGGAGTAAGTTAATCCTCTAGGACTTTAAGGTATATTATAAAGGAGTAAACTATTTAGTCCCTATACTATATTACCTAAGCGTGTATTATAGCTACTTTAAGTATATAATTAATAAGGTTAGAAAGTAAGTTAAGTATATATACCTTAAAATATAACTAGGTTAGTATTATAGTAGTTACTCTAAATATACGCTTAAAGTACGTGTACTATAGTTCTTAGGGGTCTCCTACTAAGTACTATATAGCCTAAAGAACCTTATCCTTATTATAGTAGAAAGTCTATAGTAATAGTAAAAAGGCTCCCTTATAAGAGTAAAAGAATTTATAATATTCCTTAAGGTTTTTTCCCTTATATTCTAATAAATTCTTTAGTTTTAGTATACGCTTTAAAGGTAGGGGCGTTAGTGCCCTAGATATGCCCTACTTATATATATTTTTAAGTATCTTAGGGATATCCTTTATTATACTCCTTATTAAGTCTAGGGTAGTATCCCTTTCTAGGCTTTTAAGGTATAAGATCTTAGCTTCTAGTTTATATAGGTATTATAGTTTCTAGAGTTTATTATATCTTCTTTAGGTAGCTTAGATACGCTTATTAAGCGTTAAGTCTATATCTAGTATAGGGGTTTACTACTTATTACTTAGGGGGGAACTACTTACTAGTTCTTCCCTTAGTTATAGCTTAATAGGGGGTAGTTATATTTTTACTAGTAGTACCCCTTAGCTATTTATACGTATAGATAGAGCTATCTCTAGACTATTAAATAAGAAGTATTATTATATAAGGTTCTAGTTATAGGTAATAGTATTTACTTTATACTAGATAGAATAGTATAGAGATAGCTATTAGTATAGTATTAATATAAGAATAATACTTATCTTACCTAAGCCCTACGCGAAGCGCAGGTTTTACGCAGCTTAGGCGCTAAGATACTAAACCTAGCTAGGGGTGCACCTAATTAAAACACCACAAGGTGTCTTTACGATAGGGTTGTTACAATTTTAGCCTAGCCTTGTTACACATACATAAATACTTAAAATGTGCATGCATTTTGCTTCAAAAGGGGGACACTAACGAGTTATGGGTAAGCTGCATACCTTCTGAGAAGCCTAGGTAGGTAGGCTGCCAGTTGAGGGACGTTGAGAAGCATGACCCGCTCTTCTAGTCCGCCTAATTTTGCCAATTTAATACGGTACGGGCTTGGTGCTTCTGCGCTTGCTTTAGCGCCCAAGAAAAACTGAGAAATAAGCACTCATCCTCACCAAGCCCTCACCTAACCCAGCAGCCCGCCTACATGAAGATATTTGAACAGAAATTCGTATAACAAAGTAGTAGCATACTACTGATGCGATATTACCAGTTTTTGTAGCCAAATTGATATAGTTTGTATTGCCAAGGTGTTGGTGTTCGCAGCACCAGACTGTTATCTTATTTCTCGGTTTCTCTTGGACGCTAGAGGCTTGGCCGTGGCCCCGCCTTGACTTAGGGTTAGGTATTTATAGTTTAGTCGGATACTTGCGATGTACTAGGTCAAATAGACTTTCCACAAACTAACAGCACAGTATAGTTGATCATATATGAAGATAAAGTGGGGAGAACTCCGCTGCAGTCATATTGTACAAGGTAGACTTTGACAAACTTTGACAAACTGTATTACTCCCTAGAAGATGATTCCTACATGCAAACAATACGCCTGTGCTTCATCACTGACAGTGGTAGCGTATTTTCATACCATACTAGGATCATTCGGCTGTCTTGCCCTCAGTTCACGATGCCTCGACATAGCGCGTTTGCCGTCTGTTCCACAGTGTCGTACATGAATCATTCACACCGACTAGGAGGACGAGTCACGAGGCAAACTTCCAACAACTAGCGGCGTGGATTTCCATGGCTGAAAACGCCATGGATTAGCTTATCATCTGATTACAGTCGAATCGCACCGACTGCCAGCTTTCCATGTGCCTCCGAGCACAGCGCCATCCTGTGAATCTATACCGTGTAGGTAAGGCTCTTTGAAGATCTTTGTGGAATAAAGATTAAGCACGTCCTATGTCTCTATCAGGAGCGGTCAGTTGCACATCCATAGCGGATTCGAAGATTTGAAGCCGAAAACATGAAGCTTGGCAAATTGATAACCACATAATGCAATAGTGTTGCCTAATGTCAAGCAAGCTTGCTAAATTGCCTGCGAGTCCTTTGATTTTGGGTACCTTGTTTATATGCAGAAGTCTAACATGCACACAGGCCAGATGCTGATGATCACTTCGTCGGTAGTGCGCTCAATGTGTTCACCAGCGATCAAGTCACTCTTAAGATCAAGCTCGAAACTGATTGTTTCTATTAGCATGCCCGACGCGAGACGAATAAATCAAACAAGTAAGAAGATGCCATGCTATAATATTGCAGAAGCTTTCGATACAACATCCGGAAGGTTGCTATGGAGAAAGGACTGTTGGCTCACTGGTTAAGCTCCTTAATCAAGCTGCGACCTTCGCGCGTCAATTTTGCGTTCTTCGTCCATGGTACCTTAACTAGGTCCAATTTCAAGTACCGGTACCTACGTTAGCGTGTATACTAACTTGGCGATCTCTACCTTCATCATCATAACTCACGCCACTTCACAGGCTGAGTCGATGTATACTTTCAGTCTGCGACAAACTATGTACATTATTTCACCCGCGAGTTCGTCGTACCAAGTGGATTCCCTCTCCTGCATAATGGCAGTTATATAACCAGCTCCCACTGACAAGCCTTCCCAGATTGCTCCTATAGACGTTCATGCAAGACGTTGTCGTAACCCACAAATGGTTGGTTGGCCCAAACGACGAGGTAGCGATCTTCCCTTCGAGAACAAGGCCCATCTCAGGTTGTCTTGCTACGACAATCGAAATGACGAGTAAGATATCGGTACTTGGCGAAAGAAACTACCAAGTGAATCTGCCACAAGGTCAAGAATTGGCACTATGCACAACCATCAGCCTCATCTTCATTAAGGTAGACCCAACCAGCCAGGATTGCGCTAGAAGAGGCTTTCGAACCTTCCATACAGCACCTGCATGTTGATGTGCGCAAGTCGAAATTATGGAGGGTCCCAAAACATACTCATCATCAATATACTCTTTGTGTTAGCGGCGGATTATCAACCACTCAACGCCCAGACTCTATATAGACAACGTCTACGACAATACCATATGCAGATCTAGATCACATGTTCAACGTTTCATGAGTATGGCGATCGGATTAAGGATCCGGATAAAGAGGATGGGTAGATTAAATCCCCACACTTACCCGGCAGGCGTGGCATAGGCTAATCTACAGTGGGCAAGGGACTCACTACTCCAGGGTATTTTTCCGTAAAAGTTAACGCCGTTCAAAGCAAATAAACAGCATCCACGGCGCCAGTGTGATTGCAAATACCTGAGAAAACGCCCCCAGCGGCAAGATGTAAGCGAGCCGCCCATGTGGTAAGATGAAGGCCAGTGTATCCAGTACTATGCGGTTGGCCTACCAAGAACTGCAAAGCCGGGAGTTGACGTATGTTGACCCAGTCGAACTCTATATTCGGGACAGTCGTCCCTTGTATGACACGGCCCGCCTGTACCGTATGGGCGTCCTCAAACAGTGAGATGCAACCGCGGTGGAGCAAAATATACCAAGTGTCTGTGAAAGGCAAAGCACATGATCTTGTGCAATCAGCCAAGTTCGAGGCACAGTATATATGTTTGCTAGGTACCTCATCGTTATATTTTGACGCATCACTTTGTAACCTGTCAATTATTCCACTCAATCTTTCGCTATGGTTCAGTTTACCCAATTTGTCTTGGCCACAGCCGCCCTCGCTGGTGCGGCTTCCGTTGCTCCAAGACCTCCGAGCAACGCAACCGTCAACCCATGGCCTGGAAAAGACCGCTATGTCGTCAACTCATATGGCAAGAAGCTCGAGCAAACTATTGCCGCTTTCGAGGCCAAGAACGACACCATCAATGCTGCGCGTACTCGCACTGTGGCCCAAAAGATTTCAACCTTCACGTGGATCACTACGCGTGCCGGTCTCGTGGAGATTGATACAGCCATCAAGCAAGCTCGTGCTCAAAGGAAGGGCTTCAAGAAGATGATGGTTGGTCTTGTCCTGTACAACCTTCCAGACCGCGACTGCTCTGCGGGGGAATCTGCCGGTGAGCTCAGCAGTGACAAGAACGGCCTTGCCCTGTACAAGAAAGAATTTGTCGACGAATACGCCAAAAAGGTTTCCCAAGCGAGAGATTTAGATTTCGCAATTGTGCTCGAGCCTGATTCGTTGGGCAACGCCATCACCAACCAAGGGATTCCCTTTTGTGCAAACGCCACTCCCATCTACGAGGAGGGCATCGCGTATGCAATCGCCAAGCTCCAGTTCCCCAATGTACACTTGTACATTGACGCCGCGCACGGTGGCTGGCTCGGCTGGGCAGACAACTTGAAGCCCACAGCAAAGATCTTTGCAAAGGTAGTCGCAATGGCCAAGGCCATTAATCCCGCTGCGAAGATCAGAGGATACGCTACCAACGTCTCCAACTACAACTCCTTCCAGGCTAAGGCGAGAGAGAACTACACGGAGTTTTCTCCTTCGTGGGACGAGTCGCACTATGCTACGTCTCTGGCACCGCATCTCGAAGCAGAAGGCCTGCCGAGCAACTTCATCATCGATCAAGGGCGTGTTGCGCTTCCTGGGGCGAGGGCGGAGTGGGGCGAGTGGTGCAATGTTGAGCCGTCTGGCTTTGGACTGCTTCCTGGGACCAGGACGAATAATACGAATGTTGACAGTATTGTGTGGATTAAGCCTGGTGGTGAGAGCGATGGACGATGTGGGTTTGAAGGCGCACCTGCAGCTGGTCAATGGTTTGACGACTATGTTCAGATGTTGGTGAAAAATGCTGATCCACCGCTTGCGCCTACGTATAACAAGGAGCCTAGAACCTCCTGAGCCGGGAGTATTGTATGATAGGGTAGTGTGCTGATTCTTGTGTATATTGTAGATGAATTCCATTCTATTTGTTGATTATCATTTGATGTCTTCTTCCTGCCCCCAAAGGCCCAACGATACCGACCCTTCTATCACGATTCTGTTTAGCGGTGGACCCAGGACATCAGTGACGTCAATGATCAAGGAAGTTGAGATCAAGCGGACAGGATGATTGATGTTTAGTGAAGGATTATATACAAGACATTACTGAGTAGAATAACTACGTTGGAGTTGAGATGGCAGTGGTGATTAGGTACCTAGTGGCTAGGTCAGTTCTCGCTGTGTCTGATGAATAAGCTGTTCAGGTAAGAACCAACTTCGAAATTAAGAAAATAAACCAATGGTTCCAACTGCACACTGTGTGAGCAGTAGACAGTACAGTATGCGTAGGTAGTCGTACTATGAAGTTTGGACTTGTGGCCGTACATCAAAAGACCCTTGATAGTCCCAACGCCACTAACCCGGACCCTGACCCAAGTGGCGGGGGAGTGGCGTTAGCATCAGCCAACCATGAGCCGAGGGCGGTGCACAACTCCGCCCTTGGCGCAAAGTATCCAATGTCAAGGTGACAAACTTCCCACCTCCAGACTTCCAGCTCTTTCAATCAATTCACCCCAGGCCAACACTTCCTGCACTCAATTGCTGACTCTCCACTACTTGCACACATTATTCGTGCATAATGCGGTCCTCTGTCTCGACCGCCACGGTTCCGCCCAAGGAGCCACGGGCCCGGAGCTTTGTGGTCAAGGGCGAGACGCAGCAGGTCTTCAAGGCGGAGAATGAACACGATCACTTTTTCTGGACATATACCGAGGAGCCGCATAGGACGCGGCGAATGGCAATTATAAAGGCACACCCAGAGGTAAAGAATCATCCTGAATTTGGCTATCTTTAAGAATCGCAGAGACTCATCATCTCCAACAGGTCACGAAACTCTGCGGCCCAGAGCCCCTCACGAAATACGTTGTCCTATTCGTCGTCTCTCTCCAAATAACGTGCGCCTACCTACTACGCAACACGCCCATTCTCTCGTGGCCCTTCTTCCTTACTGCCTACATCATCGGCGCAACCGCGAATCAGAATCTCTTCCTCGCCATCCACGAAATATCACACAACCTCGCCTTTCGCTCCCCACTCGCCAACCGCGTCTTCGCCGTCTTCGCCAACCTCCCCATCGGCATCCCCTACAGCGCCTCCTTTCGCCCTTACCACCTGACACACCACAAATCCCTCGGCGTGAATGGGCTAGACACCGATCTGCCCACCGCATTGGAAGCTGTGTTTCTCGATTCCGTAGCTGGCAAGGCTTTCTTCGCTACCTTCCAGATCCTCTTCTACGCGCTGCGTCCCATGTTCATATACGCGCTGCCCATGACTCAAATCCACCTCTTCAACATAGCTGCTCAATTGGTTTTCGACTACCTCCTTGTTCGCTACGCATCTGGCCACGCACTAGCCTACCTCATTCTCTCCTCCTTCCTTGCAGGCTCCCTGCACCCATGCGCAGGCCACTTCATCGCCGAACACTACGTTTTCGAGAAACGCAGCGACAGCACCTCGACGTCCCCGTCCACAACCACATCCAAAGACGTCGCAAACCCCGCCCATGCCATTCCCCTCCCAGAAACCTACTCGTACTACGGCATCCTCAACTTCTTCACCTACAACGTCGGTCTCCACAACGAGCATCACGATTTCCCCGCCGTGCCCTGGACCAGGCTGCACGCCCTCAATCGCATCGCACATGAGTTTTATGACGACTTGCCTAGACACGAGAGTTGGTGCTGGGTCATGTGGCAGTTCATCTGGGACAAGGATATCAGCCTTTGGTGTAGGGTAAAGAGAGAGGAGGGGGGAAGAAAGGTGGGCGCGGGGAGTAAGAAGCCTGGTTGGAGTGAGGAGGAGTTGGGCGCGAATGAGGCCAATGGACCGATTCCGGGGGTTAGATGAGTGGCGTGATGGGGGTGGGTATGAAAATGGCATGGGAATGGCATGGAAAGGCGTTCGGAGCATACATGGAATTGGTTGGAGCTTGGGATGATAGACGGGAGTGGTATGAGTTTGATTTGTTTGTCGTTTTTTGGGTTATATCACATGCATGTCCATTTTTCATGATTACAATTGGGGTTTATTCATTCCATCATCCTCGTTGTCGTCGTCATTGTCGTTGTTGTTATTCTTCGTCCCCGTCTTCCTCAATCCAACATGAACCCCATGAAGAAAGAAGTATATAAAAAAAACTATATCTTAACAGTAAACCTCCCTCCTTAACAGGTTCCGCAATCTAGTGATGCATGTTTCCGTCCTTCTCCTTCCCTTTTTCGCCTTTACTCCAATTGCGTAATAGTTATTTGGGGGAAAGAATGTTAGAGGAAGAAAGGGGTGGTGTGGGTAATCAAGGGGTGCAATTTTTCAGTTATGCTTCTCTTTCCATACAGCTTTCCTCATGTATCTCTTTTCTGAACCCAAATAACCCCTGCCCCATTTAAAAAGCACTGTCTGCGGTATCTGGGCCGTGTGATCAAAGGGCCTAAGACCCGACCCCATGGATTCAATGAGTGAGCCTATAGACCTTGGCTAGATAGCTACTCTTCTTCCTCTTCTTCCTCCTCCTCTTCGTCATCGTCATCATCGTCGTCGCCCTTGCTCTCTGTGTAACGAGAAAGTCGCAATTTCTTGTACCTGCGATCCCGTACAGAAGGATAACGGAGAGCCACGCGACGCAGGAATTCAGCCGGCAGTTCTTTGAAGATAGCCATGTCCCTGGCATTATGATTCGTGACATGGAAGGATAGACAATGTGCATCGACAAACATGCGAAGAAGAGGGTCTTTGTCATGCAGTTTATCAAAAGCCAGGGCAATCGTTGCCATTTCGGGACCGCATTTCCTCACGACGTTCATGATGTCTGGGAACAAGGAGGCCTTGAGATCTGGTACAAGCAATCGATCGGCAAGGATATAGAGAGACACTAGTCGATAGTCACAGTCTGCATCTCGGTCCTTGTATCCGTAGCGGTCCTCCCACTCAAGGTAACCTGACATTAATTCCTCGAACCGTTGGGCGTAAATCCAATCACAGAAAGGGTTGAAAACGTGCGGATCGATGTCATCGAGAACAATGACACCAGTCTTCCCTTCCTCAGAGTCTTTGGATTCCAAAATGTTGCGAAGATAGCCAGAGTAGTGCATCGCCAGGCTCTTGTGGATACGATACTCCTTTGCTTCAGCTCCTACTTTGATAGTGATGATTTCTCCAGCGTAGATGTCGCTGTTAGGATTAGTCATGTAGTTTTAATGGGTAGGATCTCGTCTTACATTGCCAAGGGATGCTTCTTCTGTGCTTTGTCCATGTTCTTGATCTCCGTTATGAACAGATGCCTTCTGATGCCTTTTGCCCCAGGCACCCTACGTATATTTAAAGAGTTTTGAGGAGTTTGTAGGGCCATTTGGTAGCATTTGTTTGTGTCAGGAATGTGAACGGAAAACAGCGATGGAAGCAAACGCATGTAAGCTTCCCATGCCCCTTCCGCGAAAAGCGAATTGCTCCTCACATGAAGAGGGACGGAATGAAGACGCACAGTCATATCTTGATCTGATCCAAACAAAAACAGGGGTGGGAAATGAATCTAGCAATGACGAGAATTGTTTGTTAATACTCATCAAGCTGATTGCGCTAGCCACCCACAGGTGCACAATTTGCCATCCATTTCTCTACCATTCTCCCAAGATCCGAAGAACAGATTGATTTAGTAAGTACCAATAGGTGTGGCTGGTTGGTTAGATACATTCATAGCTTCACGGTCATATAGCTCTCGACGTGCACAGGAAACGGTGGGACCAAAGAAGACTGATGAATGTGAGATTCATTTAATGAGTCTTGACGTCGTTCGAGTCGCTGCGCAGAACCCTTGTTGAAAGAGGTTCTTGTTGAGAGAGAACTTCCATGTAAAGCTGTGATCCATCGACATCTCCACGCTTTGATAGCGGTTATGCCCTATGACTACTGTTCATGTCTGTACCTGTGACGCTCGCACGATTCCACAGAGTTCCATATCTTTGATGCCAACCATGTATCTTCGAACCCTGATCAGTGAGTAGTTATGGTCGTCTTGGTCTTCTTGCGGGGCGGTTTCTCCTCGCTCTGGGTCTCCCGCTCCAGCTCCTGGTAGTCTGAGCTATTGAGTTGGTAGAAAGTGTGGTCGCGCATCTCCGCAAACCTTCGGGCAAGGCGGCGAGAGAACTCCTTAGGAAACTGATCGTCTTCATCTGGTTTCCTGGCCAGCGGATACCAATTTAAATAATGTGAATCGACGAGCATGCGTAGTATGGGACTGTTGCTAGGAAGATTTTCGAAAGCGATGATTACAGTCTTTACGTCGAGGGCATACTGAACACAGTTATCGAAGATCATGGAGTTGATAAGATTCGCAAATTCCGTTATCAGGAAACGATCTGCGACAATGTACATCCACATCAAGGCCTCTTCTTCAGGAACCTCGTGCGTGTCTGTAAAACGAGAGACTTCTAATACTTCACAAAACAAAGCATCCTGATTCACCATCATGTATAACTAGTCTAGCAAGGCTTCAATGGTGTAGGGTGGAATGTCTGCCAAGGTGATAGTGTTGGATTGCCCCTCTTCAAAGTTCGTGGAGCCCAAAGCTGCGCGGAAGTATGCAGAGTAGTGCACCAGTAAAGCCTTGTGAACACGGTACTCGTTCGCTGTAGGCCCGACTTTGATCGTGACGATGTCGCTCGAGAAGATCTCACTTCTGGAAATCAGTGTATGCTCCTCATCTTGTGTAATGCAACTTACTGGATTGAAGGAAATTCCTCGTATGCTTTTGCCAAAACCATTGCAGCTGGTATCTGTACAAGATGTGCGAGATGTGTGGGATTCAAGTCAGTAGAGGGTGGTTGAAGAAGGAAGTAGGTCGAGGTACGTTAATCAATCGTTCTTGACTGCGCTAAGACTACCGTAAAGGTGAGGTGAATCGGCAGAATCGTCGTTCAAAAGACGTGGTGAAGTATCCGCTCACCTTCACCTCAGGGGTGAGGATAAGCTGGGCCGGAATTAGTACGCCGCTTTGTTATCTGAACACCCTGTTTGACAACTTTTTGATAGATTTTCTGCCTACTCTTCAACCTCTACTTCGTTGCCAGAGCCCACGATCACGATGTCACCTATAAGGAAGCCTTCGGATGAGAGAGCACCACGCGCAAGGTTAGTACGGGATCTGTCACGATAGTGGTGTGGAATCTAACACAAGCTAGTGTGTTTGCCTCATCAGACACCGTTATAGTCAAAGTCGGAAAGCAGTTCAAGACATACACTTTGCACAAGAAGCTTCTCACATTTCATTCTGGCTTCTTCCGTGGCGCTCTTTCCGCTGACCACAAAGAATCAAGCGAAGGAGTTGTTATACTCGAAGCTATTGGAATTGGTGAGTTTGAAATATTCGTCGAGTGGCTCTACGAAAAGACATTGCCTTGCTGTATCATGCAAAGCGGCCCGAACCCTATGGACATCCAATTGGCTTCTAGAGCGTACGTTGTGGCCGACATGTTGATAGCATGTGGAATGAAAGAAGCACTCTTCCATGAGTTGTATCAAGTCTACACGCTCTCCAGGTCCCGCAAACATATCAGCCGCATTGTCAACTTGTGCAAACATCTTTCAGAAAATGATGTCATGATTCAACTCTTGGTCGACTGTTTCTGTGTCTATGGTGGGCTCGGACACTTGACCAAGGAATGCATCAAACAGTTGTCGGAGCTACCCAAAGAAACCCTGGTGCGCATTCTCCTCAAGCAAAATGAGTTGCAGAATCTGAAGAGGGAGGAGTGGAGGGTCAGGCGTGAAGATTATGTGTTTGAGCACGGAGACAGAATTTCAACAAATGAGCTAAGCATCGCAGTCGGGGTAAAAGAGAGATGAACAGTCGTGCTGCAGCAATTGGGCGAGTGATAGCTGAAGGCAGCACCAGGGCAGGCTGGCTGCATGATCGGAGGCTTATTGATGGAAAAATTAGGCAAATATATATCCAGGACTCGGATGGGACGAATTTTGACGAGAGCCATGATGATGGGAAATCACAAATGAATGAATGAAGCAATGTTACTGACGCGGTGCCTCGATTATGGGGCTCCTGAAAAGTCAGCACAAGGAGTTGAGTCATGGATGAATAAGAGCGGCATGTGGTAATGAGATAGGAGATTGTGGCAGGCGTGAGCAAGACATGATTTTTACCATTACTCTTGACGCGTGGATAGTCCTTCCTCTCCAAGTGTCAGAACCCCACAACACATCCACGACATCGGTACCCCCTGCCACCCGGCTCAATTAATGAAAGCAATGAAAACTGAACAAGTAATCGCTAAAACAATTACACCATCCCCAATGTGGCTTCGCAAGATGCTGTATGCGGCGTGGTCATTATCAACAGATTTTACAGCCCCGCTGCTGTTGGAGAAATCGGTTTCGTCCAGGTCGACTCCGAAAAGAAACAATGTACCTTGCATACCAAACTCCGAGAGTACTGAATCTGGTACTTCAATAGAGTGATCTTGGGCATTCTCGAAGGGACGTGGGAATTTCTCTAAGCCATGTCGACATTGCGGCTTTCGGTGCTTTTGTCATTTGGATACTAGAGAACCATGTTAATAGGGATGCGTTGATATCTCTGCTATAGTGGTTATATGCTCTTGCTGAAAAAAATTCAGCTAAAGAGCTGAAGATGACAATTTCCAAAATAGTTTTCACCAGCTATGAAGGAACGAGTGTCCATCCATAGATTGCACTGGTGGTCTACCCGTCTAAGCATTTACCCCTGGATGATATGCTGCTACAGTTTCTGAGCGATGTGCTTTGCATCAATAATGGCATCGGCATATGGCGGATTATATTCTTCTTCAACGGAGTTGTAGAAGAATATGACGATGATGATGATGAACCCTTCCTGAAGCGAGAGGAATACGGCCTGTTGCTGTAGACGTATCTGGGATTCGGGAGTAAGATTGAAACAGGGTATCTCTGTGGTGGAGCCCAAGGGAGTACTCAGACCATGGAATCAAATGCGTAGCATTCCAACCGATCTGCAAGAGGTATTGAGTGGTGCTCGACGTGGATATTGACAGAGTAGTTTGTCTCTTCCAAACGCCTTTTCAAGGTGTTTACTACAATTCACCATGAAAATTGACTAGACCTTCGAATTAGCGTGTGTCAATGTATATTCCCTGAAGAAGACGGCCGACGGTCGGAAGAATGTGCCTTACCATACGTGACAAACCACGACACGCCCAGTGAAGTTGGCCCATCTTCGGCTGACGTAAGTGAGGCTCCGCCGAGCTAGCGCCAGGCTAGCATCTTCCCCAAACGGCATTCGTCATTTACAATGAGCAACATCACCTTCATCCACCACCAGGTGCCGTTCCTTTCTCATACCCCATCTACACAACCCCAAACGCTGTCGCACTAGACTCGCGACTCTTGCAAGCGCCGCAATTTCGACTGCGAGTCCTTGTTCGCACGTCCAGCGAACTTCACATTCCTAGCCCTTTATAGCAGCTTCGTACGTTTGCAGTCGCCTTTATAAGTGATCGCACATGCTAATTGTACACGTATAGAGCAAGAGAAGAAAATCGCCATCATGTCAGACGTAGATGCCGCACAAAAGCGCGAGGAGGATGAGCGTCTCGATACCGCAGAGGACCCCAACGAGGAGGTACGATACCACACACCACGTCCAGTCATTTCATACGTCAGCTCGCAAGTATTGCGACACAATTAGGATCTTGGATCTCAGCGGCAATCTACATACAAGCAATATACTAACATTGCCACTTAGGAAGAAATATCCGCCATGCGTCGTCGCGTACAAGAAATGGAAGACGAGGCTGCCAAACTACGCGAAATGCAACAATCTCTCGACAATGAGCGCCACGAAATGCGCGAGAGCAAAGAAGATGTCGACGCGCGAAGCGTCTTCGTCGGAAACGTAGACTACGGCGCAAGCCCGGAGGAGATCCAAGCGCACTTCCAAAGCATCGGCAGCATTAATCGCGTTACGATCTTGCTTGACAAGTTCACAGGTCATCCTAAAGGGTCAGTACGAAGAGGAGGCTACTTTTCCTTGCACGATTTTTCGATTTGAGTCATTCATCCTGAGCCAACGCGTCTTTTGTGCTACGATGCACAGTGCAATGATACGCGCGCATCCGTAAGACGCAGCAATGACTCACGCGACCTATTCCTATCTGTTTGAAAATAACAAAATCTCCTACCTGGCAAGAGTTTGGCAGAAAGATCGGAACGCTAATGAGCGTATGCAGGTACGCGTATGTGGAGTTTACAGAACCACATCTTGTCAATGAGGCCCTCGTACTGGATAACAGCCAGTTCCGCGATCGCAACCTCAAGGTAAGCCAGGACTATCCTTTTTTCTTTACAAATGGCCTCCTCCAATCCACCACCTTCCATTGAGAAGAGAAAATGAAACTCTTACTAACACCCCCACCCCAGGTCGTCCCCAAACGCACAAACCTCCCCGGCATGACACGCGGTGGACGTGGCGGACGCGGCGGGCGCGGCGGCTACGGAGGCCGTGGTTCACCCTACGGTGGCCGCGGTGGCTACGGTCGCGGCGACTACTACGGTGCCCCGCGCGGCGGGGGTTATCGCGGTGGCTATCGTGGCAGGGGCGGTTCGCAGTATAGGCCGTATTAAGCGTTGCCACCGGGATGGGAAAAGTGTGTGGACTTTGGTCCTGTTTCAGATCCTGGAATAGGGATGCTGGTGGACTCGCTGTTGAGTTTGCCAAGGGCGAGCGGGAGATCCGTTGTCCAAGGGTGGGGGGTGTGGGATGGAGGGGGTGTACTATATAAAAAAGTGTATGCAGTGGCGATTTCTTTTGGGGGTGGGTGGGTGCTGGGGCATGGCCGGGGAAATTGAAATGATGGGGGGTTGTGAGGGTATGGAAGATGAGAAAGACTGAGGCTGGGGTGTTTATTTCCTGGGATGTCTAGCTGGGTCTTGCTAGACGATTAATTCTTCTTCTTTTCTGTCGTGTTCACCCGTCCCATGCGTATCCATAGCACACTTGTGTGATTGATTGATCCACCATGCATAGTATTGTGCTGAAGTGAATTTAAAAGACAGAATAGAACACATACACAGGCCTCGAATCTCATAAAATGGAATACATAAGACGGGCGTCATAGCCGCGAATTCGAGCCTATCAAGCACCATTTCTATACGTAGAAAAACCCCCCCAATCGCTGAGCAAGCTCCCAAACGCCCCATATGACCCTATGATTCCTCGAGCCTTTACAGTTATACCACGCGCAAAGGGGGCAACCCACAAGCCAACCAAAATAAAAAACTCCTGTGTAGTAGGGAAAGAAGAAGAAAAAGACAGAACGTGCGACATTCGTCTCGCCTCGGCGCCCCCTTGCGCAATCAGAGCCCAGGAACACTCCAGAACCGTTCGACATGACAGCCCCAGACCCCACAGACGCTCTCACAGCGACACAAGACCGTTCCCTTTCCCCAACGCTCCTTTTCCCTGCCGACCCAGCCCCAGGGCGCGTACTACGGCGCGGGATTCTCCTTGACAATGCTGCGCACCTTCTTCTCGTACGCGACGCGGTCTTTTTTGAAGAGATTGAAGGCGTCGGCCTGGGCTGGGGATTCGGGGTTTGGTTCGTCGAGGAGGGATTGGATACCGAGGAGGATTTCCTTGATGGTGATTGCCGGTTTCCAGCCTTCTTCTTCGTTGAGGATGGAGAGGCAGACTGTGCCGGAGGGGTAGACGTTGGGGTGGAAGAGTGGGGGCACGAATTTGCCTGTTTAGGGGGTTAGTGGGTTTGATTGCTTGATTGCTGGTGTTTGGTTAAGGGGGAAGAGGCGTGGAGGCGTGGGTGGAGGCAAGGCGTGTAAGCGGAAGATGGGAATAGGAAGCGTACATTTCGGTGGCTTGGTAGGGTACTCGTCTGGGAACGTGAGTTCCAGCTTAAACAGGCCGCCTTCCCACTGTGTCTTCTCCTTGCCGGGGACACCGCAATCCCACTTCTTGAGGTCCATCATGCCATTAGAGCCGCGCATGGGTTTTGCGAAGAAGCCAAAGGGGTGGTCGCGTCGCCATTGTTTTCTGTAGACCATGTTAAAACTGGGGATATATCATGTCAACATTCTGCTGTGCATACCTCTCTTCCGAGAGCCGGTTCATGCACAAAGTCATGGCGTGGTCGTGAGGCTGTTTTGCGCCTCTGCTGTCGTTACCGGTTCTCTTTTGTAGGGTGTAGGTACGGACGGAGCGAGTGGATGTCGTGAGCAGTGGTCAAAGCCGGTGTGTTGTTGAAGAAGTTGGCGACTTCGCGCTTACAAAGCAGCCCTCGAGCGCGGTGAAGGTGAGTGTGAAACTTCTGTTCGGGTGAGAGAGGTTGCAAGTCGACCTGGGCCTGGACTCCAGACTGAGAAGACAAGCTGCACGTGACAAGAGACGACAATCGTTGGCGCGTCCGGGTGGCCGCACGCCGGCGTTTGGTGCCACTGTTCTGGGTCCCGGCGGCTGGGCAGTGGCGATGGATGGGGGAAGCCTTGGAAAGCTTGCCCCGCGCTAAAGACTGCCCCGCTGTTGCATGTGGGTGGAGAAGAAGAGACCGAGGCTGACGGTGTGTGGGCGTTGGAGAAAGATTAGCATATGGGACTTTGTCTTGGAAGATCTTCCTCCTGCTAGCTTTGTAGTCGTACTCCCTGCACATCGTAGGTGGATCCTAAAAGACTCCTAACCATCGTCGACAACATGGCAGACGCGCCAGTCAAGAAAGAAGAGCAGGCACAGGTCAAGGCCGCAGCGACGACCACAACAGGGCCTCCACCCGAAGTCGCATCCGACCCCGAGGAAGATGACCTCTCAGACCTAGATGACATGCTGGACGAGTTCGCAAACACCAAACTCGACGCCAAACCTCCAGCTTCTGCTGCTCCGCATGCTGCTCCCTCATCCTCCGGTCCCGGCAGACCCGACGATGTGTCACCAGCTGATCTGCTTCTCCAAGACGAAGATGAATTCGCAAAGAAATTACAAGAGGAGATGGAGCAGTTGCTGGGACAGGGAGACTTCCAGAAACAATTCGAGGATATCATGAAGGAGATGAGCCAGGAGATGGGTGGGGCAAACCCTCTGGAGGCATTAGCAGGACAGGCGGCGAGTAGTAGTGAAACAAAAGCAAAAGTAGAGCCAAAAGCGAAAGAAGCTGCAACTGCCAATAAGGGGACAGAGTCGTCAGCGAAAGCCGAAAAGTCGTTCCAAGAAACCATCAAGAAGACAATGGAGCGCATGCAGTCATCTAGCGACACTGCAACTTCAGCCGCCGCCTCGTCATCCCAAGATGATATCCTAGCGCAGATGCTGGCTTCCATGGAGAATGGCAACTTTGGCGGCGGCGAGGGTGGCGACGAAGACTTCAGCAAGATACTTATGGGCATGATGGAACAGCTCACAAACAGGGATATCCTGTATGAGCCCATGAAAGAGCTGGACGACAAGTTCCCCAAGTGGATGGACGAGAACAAGGAAAAGGTTGCCAAGGATGATCTGACGAGATACGAGGAGCAACAGAGCCTGGTCAGGGAGATCGTGGCACGGTTCGAGAAGAAGGGGTACAGTGATGGAAATGCCCAGGATAGGGAGTATATTGTTGAAAGGATGCAAAAGGTACGTGACGTCTACTTCATACGCTCAACTGAGCGCGATTGTACCCTGTGCGACACAAGACCTGACCCACTGACGTCTCGTAGATGCAAGCTGCTGGCTCACCCCCGCCTGACCTAGTTGGAGACATGAATGCTGCACAGGAGGCACTCTCAGATATGGATCAAGGATGCCCCACGCAATGATTTCTCACTGCATCGACCGGTGCCTCCTTTCTCCTCCAGATACCCCAAATACACAAAATCTATCCGTTCACTTCCTCAAGCCTTCCGATAAAAATACCTTGCATAATGGTGGGCGTGACGCGATTCAACCGTCTGCCATGTCCATGTCCATCATGTCCACGTCATTTGATGTGCCGTACGCCTGGTGAGGCTGATACTGGTGTTGGTCATTCGCACTCGCTGCACACTGCATGAAGATCGAATCATAGTCGTCGTCATCGCTTCCGTAGTGTTGCGAAGACGCGTCGTTTTCTTGTTCCATTGATGCAACCAGTTGTTGCAGCTCATATTCCTCCTGTGCAGCTACCCAGTCCGCCTCTGTCATCCAGGCTTCATATTGAGGAGCGCTTTCTGGTAGTGGGCTTTCCGGGAGTGCCGCATCATCAATCAATTCATCAATCTCCTGCTCTTCTGGTGGTGCTTGACGCGCTTTCTCAGCTTCCCAGCGTTTGCGCTCAGATGCAAAGTCGAGCTGTTGAATCTAAACCAACGTAAGTATTGATTGGGCGCTCGTGGGACCATGAAAATAATTACCTGTTCGCCACGTGCCTCCCACTTTTTGTCTTCGCGTCCGTTTTGTACACGCTTGAAGAACATGTCTCGTCGCCTCTTCGTCGCTGCGTCACGCGTCTGCATCACCGGATTCGCCTTGTACGCGCGCTGTGGTATTATCGGCTTCTTCTCACTCGGAGAGCCCATAGTGAAATTGAAAAGGCGCGGTGCGGAATTCACAGACCGCTCGGATAGTGGCGAAGGTCGCGGGGGCGTGTATGCCGAATAGTATGGCATTGGGGGCATGTGGTAGGCGCTTGTGAGCATCATAGTCGATTATGAAAGTGATTAATTCGGGGGTAGGAGTGAATGTGTGGAAAAAGATTCTTAAGAAGTGCTGTGGTTTTGGTGTTGATTTGGTGGGGACGAGATTGGTGATGATGATGCGGACGAGACGCGAGGAAGGCGCGACTTCGCGATGGTTCGTGCGTATCGATAAATCACGTGTCTCAGGGTCCCACATCCAACGCCAAGAGATAACGTCAAGCTTGGAGGCAGTAGAAGCCTGCGAGTGTAGGACAAAGTACAAAGTGCTCAGTTGAGCCATGTTGGAATTGACGGCAACCCCTGCTCAAGTCGAACCAATCGAGCCCTGGAGGTCTTCAGTCACCCATGCCAAAGCTTGGCTGGCCCGTCGGAGCTCGTGCCGTGTCTTCTGCGCACTGGCACTCTGGATTCTGTAGTGCCCATGCGTCTAATGTATATACACAGTACATACTATACTAATCATGGCCAATAGCATAAATTAAATACAACATGGCAACATTTTCCTCAGATACTTTGCAACGAGGACGTTCTGTTCGTCCAAAGACACGCACATTGCAACAGCGTCCTTTTCGACTGAACATGTTCTCGCCGAGACCATCTTGATATACAATGCGATTAGGTACTTCACAGTCGGAATATTCGTCAGCTCTTCTTCTATCACGGCCATCCAAGCTGACGTGGCCTTCTTGCTTGACATGCTTGACAACTCTACACAGCAAGGATCACGCAGAAGTCCCATCATTATACATGTTCAGTAGGTATCAGACCTCGGATAGTACAGCCACTTAAATATTCATTGCCTATTCCAGACTGCACTACCTATTGCACAGCCCACCGATTCTTACTCTAACTTTCTACTCGGAACAATCTTCCCATGTGGCCAATCGGAGGGACCTCCCCTCTCTCCTTCTCGGCAGGAGGGTCGTACAGCTAGCTGTCCAGGTGTATATCGATCAGATCCCTGCATTTGTGAAAAGATCCCTAGCAATCTGTCGGAGCTATGCGCTAACTCTGTCGGAGCTCTGCGCTCTTATGCCGAAAATCAGGGCCAGGGAACTGCAAATCGGCAGAGCAGGCAGGCCTCTGACGTATCATGGCCACTCAGCTGCCAAGGCAGAGAATCCCTTTCGGGCTAAGGTCAAATCACAACTCACCGGTTCTTCACCCGTCGCTTGGGGGCTGGCGAGGCTTACTTCGTCTCGCATACTTCGCCCTGGTCGAGATGCTGGACATGTAAAAGCGCTTCCAACGTCCATTTCAGATCAAGCAGCATAAATATCCGCCCATTCTGCTCATCTTCCTGAATATAACAGGTTACTTTTTTGCTTTACTGCGCAACGGAACGGCTGAAGAGTTGGACTCATGCAGACCTACACTGCATAAATTTAAACACCACATCACCTTGAATACTACATCACTTAGAGCACGACATCAGTTCCTTTCCGGGGCACTTGGTGCATTATATCACTCTGAAAAAACAACACCTTCGAATTTACCATAACACCAAGAATAGCCTCTAGCTATATCGTTCCCGTTACTAAACCCATCGGTCAAACGTAAAACTTTGACCTGCTAAGACTGCACTAAAAGCCCTTTATTTTCCAATATCCTCATTACTCTACACCATGGGCAACGAAACAACACTAGTCATATGTTTCGGCATCATCACCATCATCGCCACCGTCGCCGGTCTTCACTATCGAGATTCATTGTGCTGTCTCATGTGCCGAAGCCTAGTAGGAGCATGGTCTACTACTGGTAAGTCTTTTTCCCCGCAGCACCAAGCCTGAACACTAAACCAAGTGAAGATACCGACCGCGATATCGAGGCCGTAGCTGGATTGCAGACTACCAGCCGTCATCGCAGTCAAGATGAGGATGGATCGAGCATAGAATTAGAACCACGTCGCACTCTTCCGTTGTACTTTGATAGCACTGCAATGGGACGATATTCGCATGACGATGAAGCGAGTATTGAGGCGAGTGTACCTGCTGCACAGAGGATTCAAACGATTTAGTCTGCGCGTATTCCAGAATACTAGCATACCTATTGGAAGAATGTGGATGGCAGGTCTCTTCTCAGATTCGAGATATTCGAGATATGACACCAAGTCATCCAGTTCACCATTCGATACCAGCTCGAACACGTCGACAAACACTGCATACACGCCCAAAAACACAGACTTGCAATCTCGCCATGCCACTCACACACACCCAAAAGTCGACCTGTCGGACCTGTCGTACCGCTAGCATGTTCAGGCCACTCGACTCGCATCTAAGCACACCACTTTACTCCCTCGCAAAACCACACGCAAGTCTCCCACACACCCGCCAACAATGCCACACCTACCAACCCACCGCGCAAGAACAAATATCCAACAGACCCACCTCCTCCCATCTAGCCAACTCCGCCCCCCGGATCCGTCCAGCCCCCACAGACAAACACACACGTCCATGGATCCCTCCGACACGACACGACACGACACTTGCGCTCATCCGCACAGCACACTACAATACATACCCGACAACCACTGCAACCGCTACATCCCCCTTGCTCTCCAGTCCCGCCTTCCCCCATCTCCACACACTCCACCTCGCAAGCCAGGATCTCCGTCTCCAGCATCCCTGGCAGATCCGGCGCAGTGCTGGGATCCTCTGGTCTGGTTCACCGTGGGTGCATGGCCGTTTGTGGAAACACCAGACGCAACCTCCAGCAGCGGAATCCTAGGACCAGTGACTGGTCAAGCAGCGCTACCTACCGGATGAGCCTACCGGACGAGTGGCTTGATGTTGTGGCCCTGCGACAGAGAGGTCTGGCATCACAACGGTGGGTGGTGCGTTATGCTTGATAGGCTCAGGGCCGACGTGTAGACTGTTTTCACTGTTGGAGTAGGGGTCGGCCTGGCCGGGCGTACAGTGGGAGTGAAAGGGGCACTACCTATCCCTCCCCCAGACGCAAACACGACTCCTTTGCTTTTCCTGTCTCGCCATGGTTCAGCACCAAGGAACCGCAGACTGTTCTGACCTGGGTTTTGGCCTGCAGAGAATCCCTATCGGACTGTGGGAGTGTATACCAAACGCAGCCTGATATCCCAGGCAAACATACCACGCCCATGTTGAAACTCAGGGGCGAAAAGCGAAATGCTCGACGTCTGTTGCGGGATGGATATCTGGGGATTAAAGGGGGTGGTGTGAGTGAGATGGGGTTGGCAGGGAAGATAGATAAGAGGATCAGGGAGAACGAAGGAAGAGCAGAGAAAAAGGTACGGGAAGAAAGGGGGGAGAAGAAGGCTAATATACATCCCAGGTCCGACACGACGAACTGGTTTCCCAACAGGGAATTCCCACCCAACACAACATGACGCAATCCGGCCCAGTCCATCCCCTCATCCTCAACACCAAACACCAAGCACAAAAACCAAAACACCCAAATACACCTCCCGAGACCCATCCCACCAACAACATCAACCTACCACCCTAGCCCTCACCCCCCTAAAAACCCTCCCCCACCGCCTCCTCCACCTCCACACCAACCACCCCCCCAACCCCAACAGCACCATCCCCCCCACCCCCAACCCACCCGCATGCCTGCCCGCCCCAACCCTCGCCTCATCCACATACTCAGCCAGCACATCGGCAACGGGTCCCTTGGCGCCCAAATAAGGCATACCCAGCACGCGCAAAACGAGCGCGGTGGAGCCAGAGTAAGAATTTGCGCGCCCGGCGTGGCCCGTGTCCGGGTCGTAGGATTCC